GAGGGGGCAGGGGGTGGGGCGGGGCCCCCATCTCCGGTGCCCAAGGTGAGGAGGTGGCGGGCACATGCAGGTCGAGAGGAGTGAGACTGTGGAGAAACTGCAAAGGAAGCGGCAGAGCCAGGCTCGGGCGCGCTCCCCCCGCCCCCACCCTCTGCTGCCCTCCTGCCTGGGCGAGCGCGCGCCACTGCCCACCGGGCTCCCAACCTCAGCGGTCAGGCGCTCTGGCAGCCGCTCACAGGAGGAGCCCGAGGCGCGGGGCCCCCAGGGGCCGCCCCAGGACAGTCGGTGGGGAAAAGCCAACCGCCTGAGGTGCACCCCCGTATCCGAGACCGCGCTGCCCGGAAGCCCTAGCCCAAGACGGTGGCCACGCTGCCACAGAAGCCGCAGGCTGGGCGGGAGGGCAGGGCTTCCCGAGTCCACCTGCGGGGCGGGGCGAGCCAAGCTCAGCTTTCTCCCGCAGGGCGGGTCCCGCAAGACCAAGACCGGGAGGGTGACCGTCCCGCCCAGGGCAGCGACAGCCTGGCAGCCCTGGCTCGCCAGTTCCTCAGGGCGCGGGGCTCACCGGGGCCACCTGCATGTGCTGGACAGGGACTTCGGTGCCCAATGACGGCGCCAACCACTGCCCTCCTGAGACCCTGCAGGCACAACAGCCTCAAGGCCACAGTCACGCGCGCGGAGGCCACAGACGGAGCTGCCAGGCCCCCAGCCCCGCAGTCGGTGTCCAGACGCCATCTCCCAAGTCCGCGAGGAGTCTGTGGGCTGGAGCAGGCAGGGCCAGGAGCGGGGGCAGGGGCGGCTGGGGCTGCTGACCCAGATGCCAGCGCCCACTGAGACGCGCCCTGGGCCAAGTGAAAACCAGTCTGCATCGGTTCGCTACAGGATGAGCAAGGTGGGCCTCACGCGAGTTCTCAGTCTCCTTCCCTCCCGCTTTCCGATCACCTATCTGCATCGATGCCACTCAGGATACAGAGACTAGCCGGTGACCAAACTGACCACGACCTGACGACAAGGAGCTCGCGCGCAAGTGGAGAGAGACAAGGACCCCTGGCTGAGCACGGCCCGCTGCCGCCTGGGCGCCAGAGGCACAGCCAGGAACAAGGAGGTGAGCTCTCGGCCCCCAGGGGCCAGCGAGACACAGACGGGCCAGCCGCTGCGACGGGCCTGGGCGCCACTGTCAGCCCTGGCTCGGAACGCTGCCGGCCGCGGCGGTCAGCACAGACACCGGCTCGCGCAGTTCTCACGTGGGGCCGGGTCGGCTACAGCCGAGCCTCATTTCCCCACATTCTGGGCATTTCCCAGAAGGAGACCAGAGTAGATTTGGTCACACAACCCGAGTCCCCGCCAAATGACTACGAACTTAAGTAACATCCACATCACCAGCACCCTGAAGCGGGACCCTGAGCTCTGGTTTTGGAAATCGCGTCACTGAACACTGCCTCCTTGCTTGCTGACCTCGAGGGCTTCCAACTCCAAGTGAAATGGGAAAACACTTGGTCCCTACCAGCGGGGGTCCCAGGCAACATCCCTGGTAAGGGGCAGGCAGACCCAGCACGGGGAGAGGTGTGCCCAGCACCCGGTGTGCCCCGGCCCCCCGCCAAGGAACGTTCACAGAGGGGAAGTCTCGAACCCAGACTTTCATCAGGCCCCCAGGAAGAGCAGTCGCGGCATCTCCTGGACACGGGGAAGGGGCCCGTGGGGACACCCGGCACCCCCAACCTGAGGATGGGCTCGTGACCTGGGTGTTCACAAGTCTGGTGACTGTGGTGCCCCTCATGTCTGGGACCACGACCTGCTTGGGGTCCGCCCCTGCAATGCACGGCGCAGAGCAGCCAGACTGGGCTGGGCCCTGCGGCGCCCCGCAAAACTGCTGTGCCTCCGAGCCTCAGGTCCCCTTCCTTTCCTTCTCTGGGACACGCAGGTACTAAGAGCCGCCCTCCTCCGGGAGACCGAGAGCCTGAACACCAGGGCCCTCGTGCACACCCAGGGGTCCCGTGTCCTCGTGTGCACGCCAGCTCGCACTGCACGCAAGTGTGTGCCCATGCTGTGCCAGTCCCCAGAGGACAAGATGAAGGCCATCCCCAGGCACGCGAGCATCACCACCGTGCCAAAGCCGACCGCCGCGCGACTCCACGCCTCCGCCCAGCTCGTCCTGCCCCCACATACCCGTTTTGCCAGTCCTCCAGGCCCTGAGACGGGGCAGCAGGCTGGGCACGGGCAGAGGGATGGGGTCCCGGTCCCCGATCCGGACCTCAGCCACCAGCTCCAGCATGTCCTCGCTTCTGCAAGCAGAAGAGAGAGTGAGCACAGGGCTGCTTCCGGCTCCCACGTCGGGGAGCTCTCCCACTGCAGCTTCCAGCTGCCACTACTCACTCGCCAGGCCGCAGGTCCAGGTGGCTGGGAACCCAGGTATCTGGGGGGTCCAGGACGCTCACCAGCCCCGCAAGGAAGCTGTCTGCAGCCATGTCCAGCACCTGGAATAGGCCAGGAGGGCTCCACCCTGTCCCCGCTGACGCGAAGCCCCAGGTCCCGTCTGCCCAGGCCCTATCCTGTCAGGACCCCAGACGACAGCGGTGCTGACCAACTCCACCATCCAGGGCCCCGTCTCCAGACCCTGGGGTCAGACCCCCAGGCCCTCCAACGGTGCCCCGATCCAACCGCAGCCCAGGAGTCCAGGCCCACAGCCCCTCTTCTTACTCACAGTAGCTGTGTCAGTCCCCCCCGATTCCTGGGACCGGGGCTCTGACCGCGGGCTCCGGCAGCGCCGCCATCGAAGGCCATGACACCGAGAACCATCTGGAGACAGACACGCACGGGGCTGCAGGCCCGACCTGCCTGCTGGCGGAACAGCTCCTGCCTGCCTCAGCCGCCCCACATGTCTCCCCACCGAGTCCCGGAGGGACGCCCCGACACCTTCCTGAGGCGCCAACTCGTGCCCTCGCCAGTCCTCTGAACTGCCCTCAGGGTGCAGTGCACACCAGTCCACCCGGCGCTCGAGCCTGACTGCCTAGTCCCCTCACTCCCCCTCGGCCCGAGGAACGCCTCCCAGTCCTGAGCCGGCAGCTTTCCCCTCACCAGACGTCCCCTCCCGGGCGCCACCTCCCTGGCTGCCTGCCCTCTCGTGGTGCCTTGGGCTACCTGGCTGAGGGGACCCGTCTCCCCTCCCGGAGCCCCTCCTGGGACACCGGCGTGGGCTCCCTGGGGAGCTTGCACACTGGGGACGCGGGTGGAAGAGCCCGAAGCAGCAGAGCTCACGGTACCTTTGTCGTTCGGCAGGTCCCCTTGCAGGGAGCGCCCCACGGCCTGCTGGAGGGCCCGCTGAGAGCGAGGGCAGAGGGGGGAGAGGTGTCAGGGCAGGCGAACGGGCGCCAGCTCTGCCCACGAGGGACGGACTTCTCAGACAGCCGGTCACTGGCCTCGCCAGCCCTCCAGAGGAGCCAGCAGCTCAGCCGCCGCCCTCCTCCCCCTGGGCTGGGTCGGCCTGGGAACCGCCACTGCTCACTCCCACCCTGCCTCCCTCAGCCCCGGGACTCTGGCAGCCTCACCAGGATGAAGGCAGAAGAGGGAAGCGTGGGGTCTCTGTCGGGTGGCCCGTCACCCCGGTCCTCGCCTGACTCTTCTGCTTTCCCTCGAGACTCATCTTCTTCCTCCATGGTCACCTGGGGGAAAGGGGGTGAAGCAGGCATGGGCACGGAGACCCCGCAGGCCCCACGGTCCTCCTGCAGCTCACCCCAGTCCTGGATGAGCACCCCCCGACGGGGACGAGTTGCCTCTTTTGTCTGAGGGGGCCTTTCCCACCTCCCATTTCAGCACCCCACTCCCAGTCCCCACAAATTTTAGGGCCTCTTTGCCCATGCAGAGAGAAGCCAACCCCACGCCGCGACTGGTTTTGATCAAATTATGGCTTCAAGGAGCAGGTGCCAGTCACAGGAGGCCCCCTTCCCCACGGCCAGGATGTGCCCGGGTGCGCCTCAACACCAGACAAATTCCTAAAACCGCCGACTCCGCTCCGTGTCAAGCAACCTCAAATGCTTCTACACCCAACTGGGAGCCATGCTAGAGTGGGGCACAGACAGCAAGCCACCCTCCGGAGGAAAAGGCCCCTAGTTCAGAAAGGCAGGCCGTGCCCAGACCCCGGAAGGGCATCGCCTACTGCCAGCTGCCCAGGGCCCAGAGCGTCCTAACGCTGGACGAGGGTCCTGCAGACAGGTGGGTGCCCGGAACGGGGCTTCAGAAAACAACGGCGCTGTGGAAAATTTCCTCACAACTGTCGAATGGGCTACACAGATAACAATATCCGGGCTCAAGAGTTCCTAGAATGGCTCAAAATCCCACCCCAACTCCAGCTCCTTGTGCTCACTGTCAGTGGGCACCAGCGGACCGCCCCCCCAGGAAGGGGTGTGGGAACTGCGGCTGGCTTCTGCCCCGAGCGCTCAACGGTCTCCTCAGCCCTCCACGCCAGGTTTCCCCAATCTGTCGCCCTCACTCCCCCCGCTGCACCCCAGCCAAGAACAGACTGTGGCACTGTCTCCCTCCTACCGCAGACTTTCAAGCTCTACCTAAGCTCCCAGCAGCCACTTCCCTCTGCAAGAGTCGGCAGATCTGCCCAACTTCCACAGCCCTGTCCTGCCTGATGTGCCCGGTGCCCAGCTCTGGGGCTCTCGCTCCTCAGGGGAAAGCGTTACCGTGACTGCTGACTGCAGACCTCCAGGTGTCTACACCGTCTGTGGGGACAAGGTGGCTCCTCTGCTCACAGTGACATACCCCAGGCTTTACAGACACCCCGGGCTCCGTGGTGCGTGGACAGCAGGCTCTGCGGTCTTTGCTAGGTTTCTCCCCCAGATCTGTGTTTCCCAAACTGTAGCCTGACAGCAATTTAGTGCTTCACAAATGGCTTGCTATCGAAAGCAAATCAAACATGGTAGAAAATTCTCCACAGTACAAGCCATGGGAGCGGAAGTATTAATTCAAGGGAATTGGGTATCAGTTAAAGAAGTATGTCGCAGTGTACTGGGTCTCAACGGCAATGTTTTTCTTACTGTAGACAAGGTCAAGAGTGCTGGAAGAGCACTGTGCTAGATGAGTCCAGGTGATGCTACAGACTGGCCACTCCAGCATGGACTCATTCTAACTCTGTCAGCCCCGAGCAATGCAGAACTTGAAGACGTCTTCCTCTGGATTACTGTCTAAACAGCAAGCGCAGCTGAGCTGGGCAAAATTTCCAGGGCTCTTCTTTGTCTTAGTCTCCAAACGGCATTCGCATTTGGTGCAGGAACTAAAACCACACTCTTGCAGTCACCCTCCAAGCCACCTACATGGTCCCAGGTCGTTGGAACTGCCCCCAGCCTTCCTGTCACCCAGCTTAGATATTCACAGACACGGAAGACCCATCCGAGTGCCCTCTCAGCACATCTCAACAGCCTCTCTCCTTTGGTGGGCACGTTCCATCCCTCTGGGGCGCCTGTAGAGCTCCTAGCGCTGGAACAGTCTTCCAGGTCTGCTAACCGGGCCCCGGACCCATGTGAATGAGTTGCATCCTCGGGTCAACCCATGCAGTCACTTCGCTGCCCTAACAGACATACCCCACGCGCTACGGACGGTTCTGCAGCTATTCCTCGGGTCTTGCACATCTCCGTCACCCCTGGGACATATCTCCAGATCTCAAGATGGCCCCAGAACCCACTAAACAGACCCTCGCCTCCGGTCAGCCCCTAACGACGATCAACAGTGCCCACAGAAATAACCCAGACAGCTATATGATGGGAGGTCGGCTCCAGGCTCGGTCCAGGCCCCGTGGGCGCCCCCAGTTCTCTCGGGGATGCCCCGCAGATGCCCCCCGGCACCCACAGACGCGTCCCCGGGCCTTGAGAAGGCCCCCCAGTCGGCGCCAGGTTCCGCCGCCGATGCCGGGTCCGAGGCCGCCCCGATAAACCCCCCAGGCCCCTCGGCGTGTAGGAAGGACCCCGGGACAACTAGCGACCCGACTCCGCCCCGCCCACC